CGAATGTGTCGAAGAGATCACGCGAGAGCTCTACACCGGTACCGAGTACGCCGACTATTGGATTAGCGATAGATACTTCAAGGGCTTTGTCGGAATCGGAATGGTCACGCTCATCGTGGCCGTAGTGCTGATGGGCAACGCAAGCTGGGAGATGCAAATTGCGACGGGAGCCGTCTACCTCCTCCTCAACATCACATACTGGGGTGCCTCCCTCTTGCCACCAGATTGGTTCTGGGACCTTTCACACTACAACGTCCAAGAGATTACTCCAGACGATTGGCAAGGCACCCACGAAGGTTTGGGTAAAGATACTCCATCTTTCACTCAGACTCTCTGGTACGCAATCCAGACCACCAAAAACATTGACTGGGTGCTCTCCAGCGGTGCCGCACCAAAGACGAAAATGTGGGAGCGATGGCTAGAGGCAGCCTACGAGAATAGGGATAATCCCAATTGGGATGCGGTGGGCGAGAAGAATAGGTTGATGGGTCAGCATCATTCCGCTTCTATGGATGCCAAGCTAGCCTTCAAGGCCACTATTGAGGCTGGACCCATCGTTGTGCCAGCCTCTCCCTAGTGTTCGAACGTAGATATCACAAGCGTATGAAATGTAATGGATCTGCTGACAGAGAACTGTAATTACGACCTTTTATGATACAATGTTACAGTATTACAAAGCTTCACGACTCCAGAATGTTCAGATAGGTCATCACGGCGAATGGAATTGATTCCATACAAGCGTTCAAACAAGGTTGTGAAGAGACGAAACAGTCTGTTATGATAGGGACTCACCAGGAGGACGTCTGGTTGGTATAGTACGCCAGATTAATTGGCTTGCGCTCTGTGGATTGTTCCATATCTGACCTATTGGTTTATGAATCTATGCCGAAGAAAGAGGAGTCGAAATTGCATAAACTATAAACTAGTCCAGGAAGAGCCTCGGTTATAGGATGGGTAAGCCAGCAGAACCTAGGTTTAGCAAAGCGGGGATGATTCATCAGCCCCTCTGTTAACACAATATACTAGAGCATAATTTCTTCGATTCTTAGGTCAAGTCATTGGATTCACTAGTTGCCTATAAAAAATTAGATAATGATTGCATTGGTCAAGAAACTTCTATTCAGCTGAGATATCCCGCTTCTCATCAATTGTCGTTCAACCTGCTAATTTACAATTGTTTCTAATCCCTTCACTTTATGGGGCTCTTCACAGATCAGAGATTGCCTAGATGTGGTCCCTTTGCTACTTGACGCCTGCCACATTAAACTTTCTAAACCATGAGCTCACCG